CTCTCCTCAAATATTCGAGGAGAGCAAATCGCTCTCCTTAAAATCTACGGATAAACAGCGGTAAAACGACGGGTTACCATTGTTTTTGTTTTATTTTGAATATAAGGATTTATTCAAGGGGCTGCATTATTATTAGTTTTTGCATAATAACATATGCTCAAGTTGCGTTACTTTTTTCGTTTTTGTAACTGTAAGACAAGGTAAAATTTATTTAAAAAAACTAACTAAATGGAGATTAATAAAAGGTTTGACTACTGCTCAGGCTTTCATTTTTTAATACAGGTGTCAGTTGGTTCATCACTTGATTATACTTGGAAAATGGAGAGTTACATGTAATAAACGGCACATAAAGCAACTGAAAAATTGCTTTCAGATTCGTTAAAATTATATGAAATTTTCAGCCTGAACTATTTCAATTGCTCTACGAAAGCTTCACAAAAAGGGCCTCAAAATGACACAAACTTGCCTTAAGTTTTATCGAAAATATCTGCCGTCGATAATCTTAAAAATAACGGAAAATGCAGGTCAAGTATGCCATATACACAATGCTAGTCACGACGAGAAACTGGCTAACAACATCTGAACTTCGCACTAGTACGAGCGTTTGTGATGCACTGTGTGTGGTGGGCCGGCAATGAGACTCGTTTCACGGTATAGGATTTCGGTGAAACACGCTGCATCGTTTCACTTCACATACCAGTAAAACTTCCTCAAAATAAATTCATGAACACGGAAAATACATACACAGACAAGAGAGATCAAGTTTTGTGAATAAGCTTGCAAAGATCGTCCTTCTCAATCGTTGTTTTCTTGGCATTTTTACGACGTCTATTCCGTCCAGCCTGCACGCAAAACACTGTACGGCAGGCAGTGCATTGCATGCACCGCGCAGGACTATTACATTGACTGGTTACCGCATTTTCATCATGCCTTCATTTGGACTTAGTGCGCGGCGCAGCGGGAACCAGTCATTGCTGCACTTGCACGTACGGGCCCACGTGTTTTCATGCAGCTCTACGCGATATGCAGATTGAGCACGCACAGTATACAACCGCTGTACACACACGATCTTATACAGTACGTACGAGCTCGGTGTTCGTTCATTTTTAGCGATGTCCAGCGGCATATTAACGTGAGTTTGGGCATTATACCAACGAAAAATACGTGAAGCTTAAGACTTAAATTCCTTTGCGTTTTTATCACTTCTTATTTTTAAACTTCCCGTGTTTGACGAGCCCTCTTTTGGATTTCTGAGGAGCGCTATTTTTAGCGCTCCTTCGAGACAGTCGAGGAGCGCAGTAGGAGCGCCTGCGCGATCGCGCTCCTTAAAAATGAAGGACTGCATTAGTACATGTACATGTACATGTACTTACAATGTGCATTGTTATTATTATGCTGCACTTCCTAAAATAAATCTTGACAAAATTGCGAGCCTAGAATTTTGTAAGGGTTACTGTTCATACTCGCGTACTGGCACCATCATTATGTACATGTAAACACCAAAACATCCCGTTCTTTTTAAAGGGGTACAGAAACGTGTACAAACGCAATTTTTTTTCTTTTTTTTTTCTTTATTACAAACTTTTCAACCTAAAGGTTTTTAAGGTTCCTGTTTGCACATGTACATGTACACCTTAAAAGTACACGGACCGTTGGTGTGCAAACACCAAAACCTCATGTTTTTTTAAAGGTTAACAGGTGCTTTAATTCACATACATGACATATGCTCAGGTACACTGTACAATATACAATGTACATTTGCTGTACATGTACATGTACTGGTACCTAAATGGTCAAGCCTCAAAAGACGTGCCCATTACAAAGACGTGCCCCCACGTCTGAGTCGTTACATTGAACCCATTCCCCCGAGGCCCTCTCAATAGTCTCAAGCCTGGAGCCCTTTTTTAGTGCGTCCATACCTCAACGGTTTGACGATAACTGGGGCCTGAGCCAGGGCCTGAGCCAGGGCCTGAGCCCTCGAGGGTGACAAATTGTTTCTGGAGGCTTCAGAGTGGAGGGGGTCGGTGAGAGGTGCTCGGCGGCTGGGAAAGCATTAGGGAAGGCTGCCTTGCTTGAGAATGAGGTGGTTTGGAATTAATAGGTGGCTGGGGTAGGGTACATGTGTGTACAACGCTTCCCAAAATAACCGCAACATTTTTTGCGAGGCTCTAGCGTTGCTGCAGAAACACGTACCGCCATTATTTTATATCGTTTTAAATTAAGCTTGGAATCTTCTCTTTATCCCTGGTTAGTATTGGTTTGAATTTCAAAAGGGTTTTGAAATGATTCGCGTTCAAATAAAGGCATGTCAAAAACAAACTCAACCGATTTCAAGGAAAATCAATCATGCGCATTTTTTCTAAAGTGGAAATGGTTCATCATAGATTCATGATGTGACGATCTCATTGCCTTTTGCTTTCTGTGTTTCTTATTCTTTTCGATCCATGTAGACTACACCTTAAATGAATTCACAATAGTGTTCTTCGTTTCAAGTTCAATTTTGAAATTCACAGTCTGCAAGTACAATGTACCTATTCAAAAAGTGCTCTCAAAATGTGACTCCAGTTTGCATGTGGTGTACCGCATCATCAACTTTCCTTGAATCGGTTGAGTTTGTTATCGACATGCCTTAATTTGAACATGAATAATTTTAAAACTCTTTTAAATTTCAAACCAATACTCACCAGGGATAAAGTTCAGATTCCAAGCTTTAATATGGTATAAAATTAATGGCGCTACGTGTTTCCGCGCCGACGCTAGAGCCTCGCAAAAAAAAGTTGCGGGTATGTTGGGACGCACTGTATACAATTGAGCACATCCTATGCAGTATTGTTGCCCCTCCCCAAAATAATAAGGGGGAGGGGGCAGAAGGATTCAATCACCATTTGGAAACACAGAGGATGCTTCCAATGCCTACTTTTCTTTAGGCCTCCAGGCCCATACTCCATCAATATTTAGTCAAACCAGGCCTGCAGGAAGCCCCCAAAATCCACCAAAATGGGGGATGGATTTTGATGGAGTTGGGGAGGTGAGCTACATGTAGGTCAAGGAATGATGTAATTTACATGTACATGTTCAGGATGTTTCAGAATTTCCAGTGCATACGTGTACAATTTAGGAGTGGCATTTACAAAAATAGACTTTACATAGTAAGCATTGTACGTACACGTACATTTACAGTGTATGGCTACAAGTGGGGAGCAATACAGAAATGAATAGATAATTTCGCTGGATTTTCCAATATCCATGCAAATTTACAGTACAATCACAAACGGCATTGCGGAGGTGCTACAGTGATCATAATTTACACGTACAATTGTACATCTACTATCCATGCACTGCATACGAAATCTCAAGGTGTAAGCACAGTGCAAACTGTCTGCGTGCAGTCTACAAGTCTTGACATGTATTTTGCCCAGACCCAGGCAAAACGGTTTACTACTGATGCTGTGTATTCATCATACCTAACCCAGATTTCTACATCCAGGGATGCAGGATGTTGCGTCTGGCTTGCCTGGGTGTGTAGGGAGGAATAGAAATGTTTCTTATCCATTTATTTTATTGGGTGGGTGGGATTGTATCGTCGTTGGAAAAGGTACCTATTTTATTAATTTAGGGTCCCCAGGGAGAACAGTTCTTAGGGAAAGTGACAGACTACCCTGGATAAATTAAACGATGATAAATAAATAAATAAAAAATAAATATTATAAAGAGGTCCTTAACATGTACATACATGTATACGTGAACGTGTACATGTAGGTACACTTGCATACCCGGTATACCCTGTATGTACAGACAAGCACGTTCACAGCATCGATCGTGGACGTCCTATTGTCCCTCTTTTGTTTGTACTCCTAACTTTTTAGGAAGACTCCCATATGTTTTGTACACGACCCCAATCGCGGACGTACGTATGCTTGGAATCGTGGACGATATTGTTTTCTTTTGTTCTCTGGAATTTTTCGTCCACGGTTTGAATAGATGAACACGCCCATGTACACATGTACTGGTACATATACAGGTACCGGGTATGCATTACTTTACCCCCCTGCTATTTAAACAGCCACAGACAGTCAAAATTTCCATCCACTTCCCCTGCTATACTTTTAGCGCAGGCTAGTCACCAGCAGTCAGATCATATGTCAAGCAAACACTGTGACTAGTCAAACTCAGTCAACAGACCATGAACAGACAAAAAGCAGGCAAGTTGTGGGCACAGCTGGCTTATCAATTACCCACAGCCAAAGCAAAGCTGTATCAAGTTACATAAACAGTCACAGCCAGTCAATCCTGCTTTATGTATGGTAGGCTGGGAATTCTTAACTGTTGAAAACAGTCACTTGTTTGATTTTGACTGAAAGGACTACTTGGCACAGAATGTACATGTTTGCATAGGAGGTTTAATGTACTGCACACGTACGGTACCCGGTACATGTACATATGTAGATGTAGTTGAGATCTTTTGCTGGTATAAAGTACATATCGGTATTAGTGTCATTCTTGTTCTCATTGGACAAGTTGAACTAATGACCAACTCAAGAATTTGTTTTTTTTAAGAGTAGGAAAGCTTTTGCACCCATTAAATCCCTGATTGCACAATTTTCATTGCTTTTTCCCAATTTGTTTAATTAAAAAAAAAAAAAAATTGCCAAAAAACAAAAATTTCTTTAAAAGTTAGATGATTTGCAAAAAAAGATTTGCTTTTTCTTTTTGTTTCATTGTGGAGTTCCTACGCGGGTGTTAAGTTAGGTATTGGTAAGTACTTACCGGTAGAATGTTTTATTTGAAGTTAATATATGAAAAACAATTTTAGATAAAGTGTATAGCGCTTTCTGCCAACGGTGTCAAAGCGCTTCAAAATTATTACCCCAGTTCATCAGGCCATTCATTTCGGTATCTACAAAAATGTACATTATGTAATGAAATTCAAATCAAAAAATATCCTGCAGATTAATTGAATGAATTCTGTATATTTTTATTCTTCTTTTTTTTCCCCTCAGAATCCTGTTGCGCACGCATGGAGCGAGGCGGGCCATTATCGCAAGAAATTCTGCAATGTTTGTCGTCGCAAGCTGGATGACTCGTTAGCCTTTCGCTGTGAATGTGAGTATCGGCTACTCATCTGGTTACTCAAACAGGAATTCCCCTTTAGGCCAATTTTCAAAGAGCTGCTAAGCGGAAAATGTTGGTAAGCAAATTTATGTGCTAAGCGAACTTTCGGCCGGGAACCAGCCACATGTAATATACGTTACATGACATTTTGGCTGGTAACCTCTTTTTGCTAAGCAAATATTTTCTATGCTTAGCAAATTTCTGTGCTTAGCAAGAATCAGCTGGGAACATTAGTCACAAGCAATGTACATTGTTTGACATTTTAGCTGGTAGCCTGCGTCTGCTAAGCAGATATTTTCCGTGCTTAGCAGATTCATGTGCTCAGCAAGAATCATCCGGGAACCAGTCACAAGCAATGTGCCTTGTGTGACATTTTGGCTGGTAACCTGCTTCTGCTAAGCAGATATTTTCTCTGCTTAGCAAATGTATGTGCTGAGAAGCTCTTTGAGATTTAGCCCTGGGCTCAATTCATGGTAGCCTGCAAAGCCGTGCCTGTACCGGTATTACGTGGCTACGACTTGAAATTACACATGAGTCTATGGGAATTGGCTGCAGCCGCTACCATAGATTGGTGTGTTAATCAAACCGTAGCCAAGTACTTCGGACATGGCTGAAGCACACAAAACAAAAGTTTTGCTTAAAAAATAAAAAAAAGGGGGACCAGTGAAAATGCCATGCAGTTCCTATTGTTGCTATAAATTTTTATTTTGGTTTGCGTAACAGTTACATGTATATTCGCTGTAAATTTATTTCTGCTAAATAACAGGTCCTCAGAATTCTCCTCATGGGATCTTCTCAGCAACTCTTCCCAAAACCAACAAATTCCACATTGGTTTCGTAGATTCTGTTTCCTTCACTGTGATCTCTTCAACTTGAATCATTTTGTTTTCTGTCTCTTCTTCTGCGCAGTATGCGAATACTACACCCATGCAAGTTGTCTAGATTTCGTCGTTAGTAACTGTGTACGGTGTGCCAACTATGATGCAAACAGAAATGTAGTAAGTATTCATTAACCCTAACCATTCCTAATTCTCTAAATTCCTTGCAAAACATTGCAAAATGGAGGATTTTGCAGGATTGAGGCTATGTGGCAAAAAATGTGTTGCTGATTGTGAAGGATGCACTGTGTCAAGGTCTTGGGCCGGATCTTGTGTTGTTTATGCCCAGCCGTGCATAAATTTAGGCCTATATATGTATTATACTTGAAATCCTCCGCACTGCTCCAGGATGTCACTGGCTGTGCCTTAACAAATTGACAGTGATTGCTGGAGGATTTTGCAGGATTGAGGCAGTGGTCACCCCTCCAAGGACCACATTCAAGAAATAACGGAGGATTTTGCAGGATTGAGGTTGATGCAGTGTTTACATGGAGGCAATTTTAGAACGTTGCAGGATTGAGGTTACATCCTATCAAAAATGCTTAGGGAGTTAGGGTTTACGTTAATTAATTAATATGGCCCTAAAGAAATATCACAAGACAATTTGTTTTTGCCAAAAACAATCCAGAATATCGTGAACAAATGAATAAAAGCCTGCAAAAACAATTCATTGTTTTAAAAACAAAATTGATGTGAGATTAGTTGGCATTTTAATAAAAACAAAAGGTGCAATGTCATCATCGTCATGAAAGAAAGTCACGTCTGTGATGTCCCTACTGGGCCCCCATAGCCATACATTTTTATTTGGGGTTTAATGTCTGCCAGCATAAAAAAGTTGACTCTCGTAAAATGACTGCCATTGAACCGCAATGATAGTTGCCAGGAAAAAAAATACAGGAAATGTCACCGTCCATGGCCCCTTAGTTCACCTTGTCGTGCAAGTGCAATCGGCAGGTGAGGTCACACTCTAATCTGTCGGCAATCGCCGGTGATCAGACAACATTTGGGTCAAGTCCGTGTGAGTTTGACTGTTCACATGGAGTTCCTGTGCTTTCAATGAGGCTTTCAAAACAATGAATAAAAACGATCTTGACCCATTTAAGCCCTAATGTTACTCGTAAAAGTTCTTTTAAAAATAGGAAGCCACAACCTTCATGTACTTTGTTGTACTTGAAATGGAAATGCACACTGCGTTGTGGTAAAATGCCTTGCTTGAGGACATACATGTACGGTACGTGCCATTGACCAGGCGGTGTTTGGGTCAAGTCCATGTGAGTTTGACTCTTCACGTGGTGTTCCTGTGCTTTCAATGAGGCTTTCAAAACAATGAATAAAAACGATCTTGACCCATTTAAACCCTGATGTTGCTTATAAATAATAGTTCTTTTAAAAAAACATACATGTAGGAAGCCAGCGGCCTACCGGTACACGTACTTTGTTGTACTTGTAGTGGAAATGCAAACTGCGTTGCGGCGTCAAGGACATGCATACATGTAAAGCATCATATTATTGTTCGAAGAGGGCCCAATTTCATACAAGTACCTGTTTTGAACCCATAATCCAGTATATTGTAGGTTTCTTAAAAGTAGGACACTGGCAACCTGCTTTGTTTTATTTAAATGGAAACACAGACTGCGTTGTGGTAAAATGCATTGCCCAAGGGCATCATCGTTTTGATGTTTGAAGAGGGCCCAGTATCATGCAACTATCTGTTTTGAACCCTGAATCTAGTAGTTATCTTAAACATGTCAAAAGTGGGAAACTGGCAACCTGCTTTGTTGTACTTGAAATGGAAACACAGACTGCGTTGTGGTAAAATGTACACTGTAAAGGCATCATTGTTTTGGTGTTTAAGTGAAGAAGGCCCAATTTCATGCAACTATCTGTTTTGAACCCTGAATCTAATAGTTTTCTTAAACATGTCAAAAGTAGGAGACTGGCAACCTGCCTTAATTTACTTGAAATGGAAACACGGACTGTGTTGTGGTAAAATGCCTTGCTCATGGACATAAAGGCATCATTGTTTACGTGTTTGAAGAGGGCCCAATTTCATGCAACTACCGTATCTGTTTTGAACCCTGAATCTAATAGTTTTTTTAAACATGTCAAAAGTAGGTAGGAGACTGACAACCTGCGTTATTTTACTTGAAATGGAAACACAGACTGCGTTGTGGTAAAATGCCTTGCTCGAGGACATACACTGTAAAGGCATCATTGTTTTGGTGTTTAAGTGAAGAAGGCCCAATTTCATGCAACTATCTGTTTTGAACCCTGAATCTCATAGTTTTCTTAAACATGTCAAAAGTAGGACACTGGCAACCTGCTTTGTTTTACTTGAAATAAAAACAGACTGAATTGTGGTAAAATGCCTTGCTCAAGGACATAAAGGTACCGTATCATCAATTTTTATTTAGAATATATTATTCAATGCTCAGAATATATTTAGGCTGGAAACGACTTTATGTTTCCCTAATAATTTAGTGCTTCAGAAATTTCTTACATGTAGCTTAATATCGTCACAAAATAGCCTTCAACTTGATAAGTTTCATCTTGATGTACTTGAGCCAAATGCATTAATTGGGTCAACAAGCTCTTGCCAATAACGTTAGAAGTGTGTCTCCGCAAGCGAGACAAGTTGCGAGTGATTCATTCAAAATAAATCCTCGTTCATTACCACTGAAATGAATAACATCCTATCAATTTATCCAACCCCATTGTATAAATCACTGAAACATCGCGCCATGTACTTCAAACAATGTTTTGCAAGTATTAAATATATCATGTAATATTCTCATAAAAGTGATAGAAAGTCCAAACTCCAGCCCTACCCGTCAATCATTTTCTCCCGACACTGTGTCCGTTACTTTTGAAATCGCCAAGAACTTGTTTATTTTTGGAAAGGAGATTTATTTATTTTTGCCAGACACGTGCAGGGCTGAATGTAATTTGTCACTTGGAGTTGGGGGGGGGGGACTTTGGATGAATGGCAAATGTTGTGAGATTCACTTACTCTTGAGGTACTATTTGCTTGCTTTTTTCTGCGCGACACTGTGTCGCGCTGATGTTTGGTCAAAGAAAACGGGATCATAATTTCTGTGTGTGGGTTGGTTTAACTGAAGGCATCAATGACAAGGTCTTAAAGCAAAAGAGAACTGCGTCTGTAGTCTGCGTCTTTTCTTTTTTTTTGGATAAGTCGGAATTCTTTCTTGGGGATCTGTTTAGATCGTGCTTCTCCGTCGCTCTTGATGGGAAATCTGCTGGGAATTGTGTGATATTTTGGCTGGTAACCTGTTTCTGCTGAGCAAATATTGTCCGTGCTTAGCAGATTTCTGTGCTTAGCAAGAATCAGCCGGGAACCAGTCACGAGCAATGTACGTTGTGTGACATTGTAGCTGGTAACCTGTTTCTGCTAAGCAGATATTTTCTGTGCTTAGCAGATTTATTTGTTGAGAAAGAATCAGCTGGGAACCAGTCACAAGCAATGTTCATTGCGTGACATTTTGGCTGGTAACCTGTTTCTGCTAAGCAGATATTTTCTGTGCTCAGCAGATTTATGTGCTTAGAAAGAATCAGCTGGGAGCCAGTCTCAATACATGTACATCACTGACGAAGCCTTGCTGTCTAAAGAGAACTGCGTCTGTAGTCTGCTACTTTCCTTTTTGGGGGAGAAGTCGGAAATCTCTTTTGAGGATCTATTTAGATCGTCCTTCTCCTTCGCTCATGATGGGAAATTGGAGCTAAAATGATCCAGCTTTTTATTGAGGAAACTTTGGGAAGGTCCAGTCATTGGAGTGTTATGCGCGTATATTTTCCGTTTATCCCAAGAGTTTGGTGTCGAAAAGTAAAATTGTGCCAAACTTTAACTCAGCTGGTGCTGAGTTAAAGTTGGCATTGTTTCCTTTAATGCATGAATTTGTACATAACATTACATGTACCAGTACATGTATACGTGTACATACAGTTGTACAGATTTTACCAAAATTCTCACCCCCCCCCCCAACTCCAAATACACTGTAGTATATGTTACACTATGATGGAATTTCTTTGTGCATGTTGTTTATTAAATATTTCCTACATACAGGTTCATGATATAAATTTAGTATAAAGATTACATACATGTAAATATATGTAACTTTCCTAAAAATGCATTATTAAAGGAAACAATGAACGTATCTGTATTACAAAAAAAATGTACATGCATGTACACATGTAGAACAGCATGGACAGAAAGTTCTGTAAATGTATTTAAAAGGTATTTACTTTTTTATATATATATTTTATTAATGCTTTTGATATTTTGTTACCCAGGAAAAAATGAAATTTACACATCACTGGAGGGAAGGCAACTTACCGGCCAACAGTCGATGCGCATTGTGCAAGAAATCCTGCGTCACTTCGGAGTGTTTGGCAAGCATGAAATGCGAGTGGTGCTGGACAACTGTAAGTGTTTCTTTGATTTTCAAATTCATCTTGATCAATAACCCTAACTTTCAAGTGTCTTTTACTAAGTACTGGACCAATTCCGCCTAAATCCATCACTGACCCTGCTTCACATAATGCATTTGGACCAAATCCTCTGAAATGCACCACAAGACCACCACTACTATAGGGGGATTTTGATGGACTTGGTACAGATGGCTTGCCTACCAAAATCCCCAAAATGGGGAATATATTTTGATGGATTTGGGATGGTTAGGGTTAAACCAACACAGACATAAGTTCTGCACTGCCCTAGAACTTCCAAGCCTGTTACTTCCTGTTCTACCCCAACACCCTATCACGTCTATGGTTATATTGATTCATCATGAAATAAATACAATGTGATACAATGAAATACAATGTAATACATGTACAATGTAATACAATGTACTACAAGTGTTTCCATGAGATATTCAGTATGTTGTCCATATAGGCTGTCCTCTCTGTTTATCAAGCCACAGTGATTGAAGTCAGTAAATCTATCAGTCTCCTTGGGATTTTTCCAAAGCTTCTTAGATCCTTCAAAACCCACCTGAGGATATTGTAGGATTTTGTAGGATTGAGGATGGTAGAACTCGACATGGGGCTTGATACACTGTCAAAGTTAACCCTAACCCCCCTCAGTCTTCCAAAGTCCTCCGGGTGGTTTTGGAAGAATTTGGAGGATAGAGGACGAATGCAACATAACATTTTTGAGGATTGTGGAGGATTGAGGCTGAATGCAACATAGAATTTGGAGGATTGTGGAGGATTGAGGTCACAGGGACATTCAGAACAGGTTGATTTTGGAGGATTAAGGATGAATGGTGTTTGAAGAAGAGGAGGATTTTGGCTGAATGCATTTTGAGAGGCAGGGCTGTTGAGGGATATTGAAGGATTGAGGCAGTGGGTATCCTTCATTTGAACTATTTCCCAGCAAAAAGGGGCCTATGGAGTTGGGATTAAATTACAAATAATTTTGTAGTATTGAAATGCAAAGGGAATTATAAGCCTTTGAACTTAAAATAAATTAATATTTTAGTCAATGGCCACATCTGCTTGATCTTTTTTGTCAATAAACCAGCAAAACCAAAACTAAAATCCATTTGTGAAACAGTTCAACCATTCATCGGTTACTCAATCTACGTCATCGATCAGTCCAGCTGTCATTGAAATCATTGAAATCAATACAAATCCATATATTGATTTGGGACTTTTCAATCTGGTCAGTCAGCAGACATATTTATTAAAATTTATTTTGTATTGTTAAAAAAAAATTTCACCAATTGAAGTACAGGTACCGGTATACACATGTTAACAAGTAATTGTACATGTACATGTACACATGTACATTGTAATTGTAACATACGCGTGTATACAGTACATGTTTGTTTATGGTGTAAATCAAGGATTTTCTGTTGTTCCTCTTCCCTTTTCCTTTGTTTGTACTTTAACTTTTTTGCAACAGCTCTTATTGGTTTTGTACATGTTTTCCAACCGAGGAGTCCTCGATTCGGTTCCTGTCCTCGATTCATCAGTGATGTTGCACGTGTGTGTCCTCGATTTACACCATAAACACACGCAGCATTTTTTGTACAGGTTGGTCCAAGAAAATGTTTACACTTTTTCAGACGCAGATTTCTTGGAATTGGGGAGACATGTTAAAATTGTTTTGAGGTAGGCCTATACCTAAATTAAAGCATCTTCGTGGTCTATGGTGAAAACAGCGCTTAAAATAAATCCTAAATTAAGAAGTGGCTGTGGTTTTAAGAAAGATGATGAAAACCCAGTTTGGTCACGCGCAAGTCTGTGGATGAGACATGTGAGATACTTTGTAAGGTCAACACAATAGCACTGCATGCACGAAGAACTGCAATCATGTAAATTCATGAAATTAGGTTTATACTGTACATATGACTGCCATAGACGTGGAAAAACTAGTTTTCGACCACTTTCTGTAAACGGCCGCTATTTCTTAACCTGATCTTTATTTTCAATGCCGTTTTCACCATATACGGTACATTTGTACCACCAAGATCTTGTAGTTTAGGAATATCTTAAAGCTAGTGTCCATCATTTGCAGCATTCCAAAAAGTAACTGGCGTAATACTTGGTTGAAAGATAGTAAGGGGACTAGACTCCCTGTGAAATTATTCCTTCTGGCAAGCTGTCATTTGGAAGAGATCAACAAAAGAAGGCCTTTCCAACGGTGCCGTAGGAAATTCAAATTAGTAGTTCGTTTTGTTATTCAGCGAAGCGCGCCCAAGCATTGGCACGACGCACACGCGCGCTTGCTATAACTCGTCGGATCAGTGCGCGACATCGCATAGCTGCAATCGACTCAGTGAGAACGTGTATCAGACGCTGAATTCAGGCCCAATTCAAAACATGATTCAGCAAATTTTGATTTCAAATCGAGATCCTAGAATGTTGTTTTCCTGAAAAATACAGCTGAAGCTGAGCTGAAACTTGATCAGGTTAGTTGTTCAGTACCCTTCTTTAGATTTTGAGCACTTTTGTTGCTTCAAACGAACAAAATGCACAGATTACAAATGATGGACTGTACCTCTAAATCAATTGTAATACTGTATGTCTCCCCAAATTTGAGAAATCTCCCTCTGAAAAGTGTAAACTGTATTTTGGACCACCCTACAGTTTTCTATTATATTGTACATGTACTTTGTTCTAATTTCACACTAGTTACGGTACTCAGTAATATTTGCAGAACACAATGGAAACAGTTTTGAAATTTTGCAATATTTTGCCAAATGGCATGTGCAGTTCACCTTATTACATATATGTAGACCTGTACATAAAAAATTGTTTTGTACACGTTTGCTGTTTCTGTGTGGATCTCTTTGTTTGTCATTGAATGTGTGTAATGTTTTATTTTTATATTTTTTATTTTTTCGGCCCCTAAGGGTACATACTTTAGAATTTTTCAATCCAGCTGCAAATCCATACCACCGTCCTAATGCCACAGCAGGAAAATCCGGTCCCTTGTCAACGACCCAAATTTGCATGGGTTGCCATGCCGACAAGTGTTCCAAAAAATCCCCCCTTTCCGTCACTCGGTTTGTGTGAGTGTGTGGCTGATTAATGAGGACACCCTGTGCTGCATGGATTCTGGCTCGGTATGCGCCCGGCGCTGGGGATCAGGGACTGTGTAATCTCATTAGGGGATTTGATTTGTAAGCCGTGCTTTTGAGCCTAATGTGTTTCACGATCACATTGGAGTAAAGGACATCGGATGCTGACGCACATTGTAAAATACAATTAACCGGGTTGTTCAGTTTCCATACATGTACAATGTACAGTATGTACATGTACATGTACTGTACATCACACAATGTGCGTTTTCCAAATACATGTATGTACATGTACACAATTAGTCATGTTAGTGGTATCGGTACATGCATTACAATAAATGGTTTTCATACTCATAGAAAACCCAGCATATCAGTAAAACATGCAAAGATAATTACTATTAAAATTTGGTTTAAATGAAAATAAATTCACTTCTCCTGCCTAATCAAACACAATGTAACCCTTTTTGGGGTGGGAATGATATTTTATGTATTTAGTTTTAGATCTTTGCGGGGGTGGGGGAGTAAAATATACTTAAAATTAGTCATTTTATCTTCATACCCTTTCAGTGTTATCCTTAGTGTTTGGTAAAATTTGTATTTTTGGTTAAAATTACCCATTAGCTAAACCTCCTACTATCTGAAAAGTCACAGACAGTCAAAAGATCAACCCTCTTCCCCTGCCATGCCTTTTACTCAGGCTAGTCAGCAGCAGTCAGATCATATTTCAAGCAAGCACTGTGACTACATGTAGTCAAATTCAGTCAACTGACAAAAGCAGACAAGTGGTGGGCACAGCTGGCTTATCAATCACCTACAGTTAAAGCATTGCATAAAAAGTCACAGCCAGTAAATTCTTCTTTGTGTAGGCTGGGAGCTCTTACATGTAGCTGTTAGTGTTAGAAAACAGTCACTTGACTGATTTTGACTCAAAAGGACAACTTTGCACAGAGTGTATGTTTGCGTAGGAGGGTTAACCCTGACCCCTTGGGTGTTTTTACCAGAAAGTATCCTGAATCCGCCTAAATCCATCAATTTTGCCATGCAAAGAAATGTTGGTGGCCAGTGAGTCCATCAGAATCCACCAGTAAGGAGGGAGTAAAATCTGTTCAGATCCTGAATCCATCAAAGTCTCCCAATTGCCTAATATGGAGGTATCCTGAATCCATCAAAATCCTGCAGTACCGCTATAGGCTTACTACAGGTCCTGAATCCATCAAAATCCCCCGACTTTTTCAATATGGAGGTATCCTGGATCCGCTGAAATCCTCCAAAACAGGGGTGTGGATTTTGATGGATTCAAGTACTTCAGGGTTGATGAAAAAAATTTAAAATACTGTTCCATTTCTTAATTTTTCCCCTACAGGCTCACACAGGGTGTTACAAAAGTTTCTCCTCCGAATGCAATCTAGGGCCCATCCGAGATCTGACAGTACCCCCTTTCGCCATCTCTATGCCCGTCCCCAACTCGGCGGTCAAAGGGGATGTCACTGCCAAAGGTCAAGGTGAGTCTAGCCACCTGATTGGTCCGTTTTATCCATTACTCGCTTCTCAGTGGTCGATATTTTCCATTGGCGATTTTGATTGGTTGATTTCTCCATGTCACTTCCATAGGACAAGGTGAGTCCAACCACCTGATTGGTCCATTTTATCTGTTGCTCGCACCTCATTGGTCAATCTTTTTTTCCACCGGTGGTTTTGATTGGTTGATTCTTCCATGTTTGATAAAATAGTTTATGGTGATTGGTGAGTTCTCGCCACCTTATTGGTCCCTTTTTATCCATTGCTCACACCTCATTGGTTGATCTGTTCTCAGTTTTTGATTTTGATTGATTTAATTTGTCACGTGTGGTAATGGTGCATGATGATTGGTAGAATTTTGCTGGGCCTTCTTTTCATTGATGATTTTCATTGGTTGATTTTTCCCTGTGTGGTAATAATGTACATGTATGGTGATTGGTAGAATTGTTGAAAGGCTTTCTTCCCATTGGTCAGGCATGGTGTCCTTTTTTTTGTATACTTTGATTTCATTGGTCAATTTGTGATTCTTAATTTGCTGTGATTGGTGCTTCGACTTGTATGGTAAAAGACTGCATGATTTCATTCTATACTTAATATTGAAATTTCTGGAATTTTTTTTCCAGAGAATTACAATTTTTACATTTTCTTTTCTTCTCAAGTGGTCTCTGTATTTTCTGTGAAGTGTAAAATGTATCTTCATATCCTGTTGTCTCTTTGTGTCTACATCATACATACATGTACATGTATGTTTCATGTTATCTACCGGTGTACATGTACTTTGTGTGATATAAGTAGATAATTAACCTTTGTATTATTCCATAAAAGATGAAAATAACAATTAAAATATTCAAGCGATGATTCTAATCACCACAATTACAACAAAACTGAAACTGAATGATTCAAGGTATTTTACATAAAACAGGTTTCGATTCCCTAATCTGTAATCCAATGAAACATAGATCATCATGTATTCATACCTTCGTTCCAAATAATACAATTCATGAAAACACAAAAAAAAACTCAACAGAATTAAATATAACACTGTATAAGCAGGGAGCGAAATTATCAAATTTAGGTTCGCAGGCGAAGAATTGTACAGTTAGGTAACAGGACAGGAGAGCAGCACAGCGCAATATTCATCAACGTCTACAGCGGGCCAAATCCGTCACTTATCCTGTTTAATATATTCCCCCTGTCATCTGTCCCTTTATTCCCCCCTATTTCGGGAGGCCTGCGCTCCGTATAAATAGCTGAAACCCCATCGGATTTGGGGGGCTGTGCATGTCGTCCTAATAAAATTAAAATATATTACCCCATATTCAAATGCCAGTATAGTAGTGTGGAGGATGGTGGCGGATTTAATTTTGGAGAATAGAGTTGGTATTTGTAGGGACGGTTTGGAATTGAGGAATTAAATCTGGGCAGACCGAGCACAAGCTTTTGCTCATTTTCTTACCACGTTCTGTTATTCTAAATTTTGTTTTCTGTATTTTTGGCATTAAAATATAAACAGACATACAAATGTAAACGATACATTTCTGAAATACCGGTACCAGTCACTAAAAATGATGAAAGGTATTAAATATATAGAACATTTCCCTTTTGCTGTAATTTTCAGAAATGGATGGATTTTATAGCAAATAGTGGTTATACTGGCCTGTTTAAAGTTCTGTGTTCATAGGTGCTGGAAAAACCAAGAAAAAAATGGTGGTCTTGTAGTATGGTGCCCTGACTGTACCGCTACTTCAGAGGAAACAGACCAATTGATAGATGTCAGGGAGTTGTCAGGTCGGGGAACCAGACTAGCTGGCACGCACCCATTCACAGATGTGTAACCGCTTGCAAACAAAATGTGGACTAACTAAGTTTGGTAAATTGTGGGTAGTATTTTTCCCAAACGATGGTCGGCCGATCATCGTTGCAAATTGATACAAAAATTCCACTTTTCTTGAAAATGACAGCACACCAGGTGCCATGATTTCACAGGATGCTTGAGACTATTATTCACTCACAGTCCAGTAATGTATCTCATAATAATTTTGTAGGTTTTTTTCTGATATTTGCAAATGTTGTAATTACCTTTGTTCACCTTGCCTTGAATAGAAACAAACTTGAAGTCATAAATTAGGAAAAATTATAAAAAAAAATGTTCCAATCAGAGACACCACAACAATTAAGAATCTGGCTCAAAACCAATCTATTCACCACCACAATTTCTGTAGATTGACAGTGCTTTATAGGAACTCGCAGTGGCACCGGTACCGTAAATTGCTCTTTTTAAGAACTGCATAATATGACTATGATCCATGAGCACATAACTCTTTGTCTCCTGCACCACTCTGCACCACTCCCAAGCCTTTTCCAGTGCTCTATGTCCCATCCTGAAATCTTGTTATAGCCCTCCTTTTTTCCCCTCTTTTTCCCCTCTGTCTACATCCGTATCTGCATTTATCTTTTCATTTATCTCTTCTTTCTATCTTTGTGCATTTCTCATCTTTATCTTGCCAGTGGTTTCCTCCAGAGGACCAAAAAAACCCTTCTTTTTTCACCATTGCTGTCCTAGTCTGCATTTTTCTTTATCTCTGGTCGTCTCATTTGTCTTTACTCTATCGATCTTTGTCCATCAGTTTGTCTCGCCATGTCTGTCACCCTCTTCTTAGAGCATGGCCTCTTTCACCTCCTGTGTCTCCCCAAGTTTCTCCCGTTTGACACTCTCTCGGTGTCATGACTGTTGATCGTTCCCTTGTGTCATCTGTGTTAATGCTGTCTCAAATCCTTTCCCCTGTGTGTCTCACCCTGTCTGTCACCCTGTCTCTGTCCCTCTTTCATCTCTGACACCCCATCTTTCACCCCTTCTCAGTCTCTCTGTCTCTTTCACTTGTCTATCCCCTTGCTGACTCATTGCTCAATCTCATATTTTGATCTCAAGTTTGTCATGCATAGACCCTCTCATTCTTTGTTCACCCCTTTCTGTCACCCCATCTCTTACCCCATCTGTCTGTCCCTCTCACCCCATCTTTCCCCTCCGACACTTCCCCTCTCCTTATTATCCTCCGTCAATCTCATTTTCTCATCGCATCTTGTCTTCACTTTGAACCCCTTCCATGTCTCTCACCCCATCTCTCACCCCGTCTGTACGTATCTGACCCTCTCTTGCCCCCTCCTCCCCAAAAAGAATTCCCTCAACACTTTCCTCTCCCTCAGTATCAATCTCATTTTCTTATCTCATCTTTTTTTACTGTCTCACACTTTGACCCTCCATCCTCCCCCCCCCCCCATCTATCACTCCATCTGTCTCCATCCCCCCCCCCCCCCCAAAGAAAAAGTATCCTCCCTCAATCTCATTTTCTGATCGCATCTCCGTCCGTCGTTGCGGCACGGGTGAGGCAGGATTTGTCGGGCCCGTTCTATTTATAGCCCCCTTCATGGCATATTCCATTTCGTCCAGACCCTACCTGAGCTCGCAATCCATCGACCCGCTCCCACAAGGTACGGCGAGGGCTATTTTTAGCGCAGCCCTTCGTCGTCATTGCCTATAATATATATCCATGCATGACATGGTTGCACCATCCAGGGTTGAGGCTAATAACGCTGGGCAGCGTGCAGTCGGAAAATTATTGCATATCTCCACATTAATAAAATCAGCAAAACCTGGCTCGTAAATTTAACTGCAACCACACTTAAAAATATCACTAAATATGTCTTGAAATATTCACTTTTTTGCAAAGAAATATCAATTGCTGTATATTATACATGTACATGTACATGTAATTATTGGCCACATACAGTACACTCTTTTATAAGATGGAATTTAATTGCGTCGCAGAGATACATACCAATATAAATTTGTTGGTTTTTTTTCCCAATACCTCAGCAAAGGGCAATACCCAGTGTTTGTAAAATACACGTTTCACGTATTCTGTACACTGTAAAAATTCTGTACACACAAAAAAGTACAGTAAATATATTCATTTGTTGTAATAACCGGGTACTGGTACATGTGTAAGATCTCATTCATGGACGCACATAAATTATCATATTTCGCTACATGTACGTACAAGCATACATGTACTAGGTTACGCTCGGCAGTAAATTCGATGGACCTACACGTACAATGAAAATAGATAGTCTTTTGTACTTGAGATCAATTAGTCATCGTTGTGTCTGTGTTGACTAATTACTCATTAATTAAGCCATGGTGTATTTTATCATTGCGTACATGTACTGGTATATATGCCTACATGTTGTTGTTCAGCCGGAGAAGTACTGGTAGCCAGTTGAATTTTGGCCACCATTTTCAAAAATTGTGGGCAGCCATTATCGTGAATGATTTTAATGTAATACCAACATGACCATGAACAATTTTTTCTCCTTCAAATTTGGGCACAAATGCTTTCCCCATCATCTTTATTCATGTTTACAATGTACATCTGTAGAACATGTACATGTACATGTACATGTACATTGTACATGTAACAGGCAGATGCAAGAATGTTACATACCCCCCCCCCCCCCCCCCCCCCCCCCGGATTAGTTTTGGCCGAAAAACACAATTTTTGAAAAAGACAAGATGTACCGGCCAAATTTTAGAATTAAATCAAACACCATGAATACTGACTCTTGTAATTGTTGTAGATGTACAATAATTGTACGATACTTGTCACTGTTACTTCATATTTTGCAACGCTCCGAGGCCTTACCGCGGAGCGATATTTGCTACAATGATAGGGCGTGTACAGCAGCCAAGTTCAAGTTCAAAACTGTGTGAACGGAACCAATGGGAACCACTGACGTATGTACACACGTCCACCGTCGGCAACTTGCTTGACGATTCAACACGTCACCCGCCCCTGCGAATGTACATTGCCAGATAGAGATTACACATCCTCCAGCGTTAACTGGTTAAAGACACTAGTCGGACATCTGTATCCACTCCGTTCACAAGTACCCCCTCAGTTCACAAGTACCCCCTCACTGGCAAACA